ACCCAAATTGAAGAGGAAAGGGTTTATTTAGCTCACAGTTTGTGGACATTTCAGTCCATACTCAGCTGACTCCAAGGCGGAGTGGCACATGGCACAGGGCAACTGTCCATGGCAGCAGAAAACAGCAAAAGCAACAACAGCAAAAAGGGAGGAGCTGCATGGGGGAGAGCAAGCCTCTTTCCTTCCCTTCTATTGTATGCAGGCTTCCCCCCACCACCAAAGGGCAGGTGTAGCACTCACACCCATAATCCCAGCACTGGATCGTGGATCAATCATAGACTCTAGAAGCCCGCACCCATGACTGCACGAGGCTTTGGGGGGACACCCATACATAAACCATAAGAGAGGGAGAAAGATACTAGGGAGAGAGGGGAAAAGAAAGAAAAGGAAGGAAGGGAAGGAGGAACTCAGCCTCTGCTGGCACACTTTCCTGCTGTTGGTCTGCTTTATTTCAAAGCTATTCTCTAAACTGAAAAAATGCAGACCCACTTCTCAGAATGCAGGGAGAGCCCAGTGAAACCAAACTCCAGCAGCTCAATGCTGGAAAAGGGCCAAAAGGACCTTGTCTTAAGGTGCCTATGGTCACCCTCTTCCACACCCACTTCCTGGCCAGACAATCTGGACAGCTCCTTCCTGCTTCGGGGCTGGGGTCACCAACAAGGCACCTATGCCTGTGCTCACCAGGGTCTCAGTTTCCCAGAGCTCCCAGGAAGACTACTGAGGATATAATCACCTCACTCCACGCACCAGTGGTTCGTACACTGCCTCCTGCTGGCCCTCAGCCCTAATCCTGTTCAGGTCAGTGGCCCCATGTGGCCTGCAACGCTGAGCCTCTCCTTGGTCACCATGTTCCTTCCCCACCGAGACGGTTAACTACGACTCTCAGATATTCACCAGCATGAGTTCTGCATCTTCTCCCCCAACAACACTTTCGTCTGATCTCTGCCAGCCTTCTCCACGGCCAACATCCACTCCACTTTCTGCTCAGAGTCCTGTCACCCAGACGTCCTAGCATTCCAGGCCGCTTCCAGTTTCCGGAACAGTCCATCCTTCCCCTCAGGATCACCTCAAACATGGCTAAGCCTGGGCCTCCAGGCTGGCTCTGCACACCTGCCGATCCGCCCACCCAGTGTCTTCCTCCTGGGAATCACCTTCCCCAGCTCCTGTGTGCCACGGCCCTGGTAGAGAAGCTGGCCTCGACCCTAGATCAGGGTCTCCCTAGACCCTGGCATTGGTCAGGGCAGGACAGGGGTCCAAATGGAGGGCAGAGAGGCAGCCGTACATCTGAAGGAGCATCTGCAGGAGGTCACTATGTTAAGCCACAGGCCACAGGTGCAAACACAGCTGCATGTAAGCACCTTTGCCTGCCTGACAATCCATCCTGTGCAGAGAACAGCAAAGCAGGAGTAAAGGAGAAGGCACACAGCAGATTTGCATCACCCCAGGTAGCTGTGATTTATAAAATTTCCGTGGACACTGAATTCACAAATATAGAACCACCACTCCCAGGGGAAATGTAGGGGCAGGTCCCCGCCAGCTTCTGATCACCACAGTGTATAACCTTGTCTGAGTGTTTGTTTAAAAACACCTTATTTCCCATACACCATTGCCTCACTGACACCACATTCACAGGCAACAGCACTGTTCCTCCTGCCTGGATGAAGCCTGTCTAACAGCACCTACCCTTGGGCTGGCTGCACACAAAGACAAGCTCCCACCCCATCCTGAGCACCCCAAACCCCCAAGGCCATCAGTGAGGAAACCCTGCTGCAGGAAGCTCTTCCAGCCTCCTTGGAGCTCAACATGCTGTCAAGTTGTGTGTCCTGGTAGAGTCACATGGCACCCCATGGCCTTCAGGAACCCTGTCCTCTTCCACCTTAGGGATAAAAACCAGCTTATCCAGTCCCATCTTGCTGCTCTGGAGAGGCAGCCAACAGAGGGGGCTCATTGTCCTCGGGTCCCCTCTGCCATCTTGGAGGACCCCCTCAACTGCACCAGCTCTGACTGCTGTGGCCACCGCCCGACATTCCCTCCAAGGCCATTTATGGCCAGTCTGCCTCACTGCCCTGGAAACTGTGCCACACACATTTAGATGTCACACACAGGAACATCCATCCACCCTGCAAATGACACCCTTGACCTTAGCCTATTCCGCCCCGACCACCACTTCCCCTGTCATCTGCCTCAACAGGGTCTCTGGACTGGCCTTCAGGGAAGCCACATCCTGTGGTCGGACTGGGGAAAGATAGTTCTTTCCAGAGAAGGTGATTTTAGCTGGGAAACCAGCACTTCCTGGGTGACTTGCTTTCCCTTCCCTCCCCTTCCCCAATACCTAACTCTGCAGTGTGCAACCTTTAGGACTTCTGTGTGGAGTTCTTTAACTCAGCCCAGGACTGGGCAGCAGGGCAAGTCTTTCTGGGTCTGTGTTAGCATCAATGTTTTATGAAAACATGGGGTTCACTGCCACATGTGTCACCCCATGAGGAAAGAGATGAGTAAGGCAGACCCTGTCCTCATACCTTAATCCTCTGTCCTCTTCCTCTTGCTGTGCATCGCTGACCATTAGTACTGGGGAAACTCCCATTACACTTCAGAAAGAGCCACATTTGTGCCACCTTTGTCACCTATGACTCAGTCTTATTGTAAGTGCTATGTGTAGAATTGTGAATCCCCAAATTCACATGTTGAAATCCTAACCTCCAGACTTCAGAATATAACTGTCTTTGGAGCTAGGCCCTAAAAGAGGTAATGAAAGTGAAATAAGGCTGTGATCCAGCGTGACTGGTATCCCTATAAGAGGAAGAGGCACCAGGGATGTGAGCAGAGAAAAAAGAACATGTGAGGCTTCAGAGAAAATGTAGCCATCTGGAAACAGAAGACACAGGCCTCAGGAGACACCACTGTCACAGGCGTGATGGACAGAACACTTGATTTTAAATTCTTACCTTGAAATCTTAACCCCTAAGGTATTAGGAGGTGGGCTGTGGGAAGGTGATTAAGTCATGAGAGTGGTGCCCTCATGATTGTAATTGGTGCCCTTATAAAAGAGGTACTGTGGTCTGGATCTCAAATGTCCCCCAAAGACTTGTGTGTGGAAGGTGCTTGGATCCATGGATGATGAGTCCACAGCTGAATGTGCTGATAGAAGTGGGGTCTGGTCAGAAAAGGCCGATGATCTAGAGGGGCTTGTCTTCTTCCTGGTCCCCCTTTTTCTCCTGATTTCTGTCCACCATGATGCAAGCATCTTTTTTCCATCCGACCTTGACGCCATGCCCTTCCTGCTTGGGAGCTGGCCAACCACAGACTGAAAATGTGAGCCGAAATAAGCTGCTTCTTCTTCAAGTAATGAGTGTGGGGAATTCTGCACTAGCAACAAGAAAGTGGCCAAGACAGCTACTAACCCCTCCCACCCTGTGAAGACAAAACAAGAAGCTGCCACCTGTGAACCAAAGCATGGGCCCTCACCAGACACCAAATTTACTGGTGGCTTGATCTTGGACTGCTTGATCTCTAGAACTGTGAAAAGTTAAATTTTTGTCACTTAAAAGCTACACAGTTAATAGTGTTTTGTTGCAGCAGCCCAAATAGACTAACCCATTGGACTTCCTGTGTCCAGAACTATCAGAAAACAAATTTATTTTGTTTAAGTTACCCAGGTTCTGGTATTTGATTTGTCAACCTGAGCAGAATACAATGAGCAAAACGCTGACTCCCTCCTTCAGGAAGCTTCTGCTGAGGCCTCCTACGTACAGAGCACAGAGACAGGCACTGTGGGCAAATATGAGTGAGAACCCAGCACCCGCCATGTGGCGGGGAGAACAGCTCGGCCTAAACCCACCATCACACAGCAGAATGCACACGTCACGACACAATAACTCTGTAACTCATTAGGAAAATATAAATTTGTTTGATTAACATACATTGGTAGCTTGGTTCTCAAACTTAATTCTTTCCACAATTCTGGTTGCATACTGAATTAGACAAGAACCAAATCAAATTCAATGGTTAGCTTCAATGTTGACCTTATTGAGGAAATTTGATTTGGTTCTTGTCCAGTTCGGTTTGGGACCAGACACATGGAAAGAATTAAGTTTGTGAATCAAGGTACCACTATATTAGGGAGCAATCTGAGGATAATGTGTATTTTATATTTATCAGTGAGGACTACTAGATGAACATAGCACCAAGCCCAACCAAGCTATATAGGAATACACAGAACTCACACTCCAGGGACGTCTACCAACAATCTTGGTTCACCCCCTGTTACAAGCCACATTCATCTACACATGGTGTTAAAATTCTCCATCTGATTCCACATGATTCCCTCCCATCAGCTCTAACTCACAGGTGGCAACACCTTGGAGACGCATGTCCACTAGCCAACTTCAGGTCATTTTCAAGGTCAAGTACCATGTTTCATGATATTTATGAATGCTGTAACCATTTAAATTTAAAGCTGTGCTACTGTTTTCAACAGGTTTCTATTTTTGCTTTTCTCTGCCACTAACACATTACTGAGATTTGTATTCCTAATGCACTCTGCTTCCATAAGCCTTACAGTTTTACTGCATGAGTTTTGTTACTGTAGTGATTTTTAAGAGTGTGTCTGTTACATTATAGCAGAACTGTCTGTACTTAAATGTTTTCAATAAGGAACAATATTCAAAGAGACAAAGGCCTGAGTCATGAGCGTCTCTGATCAGGATCAGAAATAACCACACACTTCCTACACCAACTTCACAAGTGTGTAGACCTGACTAATGTAGCAAGGAGGACTCCTAGTAGCAAGGTACAGGAATTACAGGTAAAACACAGGGGGGAAAAGTAATGCATTCAAAATGTATTTTTAAAAAGTTAGAGGGGGAATGAGGCTATTAACAAGCTAAGTAAAATACACCCTTTTGCCTCTAGGGAGCTTTTTATGATTCCGTTTTTCCAGTGTGTTTACTGGAAGAACTTTTTCCTAAGGTCGGACAGCCCCACAGAAGAGCCAGACTGACCTGTCATCGAGTTTTCCGAGGTGCACAGCTGCTCTCTCAGCTTCTCCACATCATCAGGGTGCACCTGCTCATACAGGGTGCTTCCGAACCACTCCGACTGGGGCTGGTTTAGAACAGGCGTGACCGAATCAGATACGTAGATCACTCTCCCTGTCTCAGCTGCCACAACAAACAGAAATCCATCAGCAGCTTCCAGGATGAGGTGCTTCAGCTCCTGGGAAGGGAAGACTGTGATCAACACAATGCTCCAGAAGACACAGACCAATTATATTTTATGAGCAACCTCCAGCTTCCTTTATTCCAATACTTGTTCTAGTATATATATAATGTGGGAAAATACTCCAAATTTACTGGGAAATAAGCTAGAAAATCCACAAAACATGCACCATCCCTGGGTCCAAGGATGTAACTCAGTGGCACAGTACCTGTCTGGCAAGTATGAGGCCTTGATTCAATTCCCAGTACCAAAAAAATAAAGTGCACCATCCCTAAGACACAGCCACTCAACACAGCCCTCTTAGGGAAAGACTTCTCCAGCGCCAGGGAATGATGGGGAGGGTGTTTGACCCACCACAGGGTGTGGGGCTGGCAGAGGTGTGAGTGTCATCCCTGAATATTGGAGGTGCAGCCGTAACACTGCTGCAGAAGGGCCCAACACCCAGTGATCACCACAGGAAGTGCTTATGGAAGGAAGGAAAACGGGCTAGTGAAAGGAGAAAAGAAAGAGGTCATGAGTCTCCTCACCCCTGTGCCTGCCACAGTGATAGTACACTCTCCTTACTCCCCTCCACCTGCAGATCTAAGCTCCCCTATGATCTTCTCATGTCTACACCTGATGTAAGAGGGCCTTCAACATCCCCACTGGATATGAGAGATGCCCTGATGTTTGCACCGGACACGAGAGGACTCCTTTTGTCCACCTGCCTGTCCAGCTTCCAGAGCTCTGACAATTGTCACCACCAGCTCCACAGACTCTTGGGTTGCCCAACAGGCAGCAGGGCATGTAGCATTATCTGCATCACTTTCCAGGGAGAAGCAGTCAGGAGCACCCATCTGGGGTCACAAAGGCTCACGGCATCATGACTGTCAGTGAGGACAGGAAGGAAGCTGCGTGCAATCAATGCATGACAGTAAGAAGCTCTGATGCGAGCCCCAAGGATCATAGATGAAGCAGAATCAACTGTTCAAACAAGATGCTTTTTTTTTGCAGTGCACAGGGGCAGCTCAAGTGTAATGCTTGCACCCAGCCACAATGTCCCTTCCCAGGAGGCGAGGTGCTCCAGTCTGCAGCCCTCACCTCCACCCCTAACCACTACATGCACTGTTCAGGTCAGCGGCTGGCAGGTGGTTTCCACTGGGAATACTTTGTTCCAGTGTAACTGTCCATGGAAGCCCTCCTATGGAGCTCGATAAGGAGAAAAAGGCTCCTGCTCCACAGTCACTAAGCTGGACCTTCTGGCCATTGCTTAAGTGCCTGTCCCCAGGAAGTCCAAGGATCCATAGTTGAAAGATGCTGATCTTCTGCAAGCTGGACCAGAGAGCTTTAGGAATGTCTCTAAGTGCTGGGCTAGGGAAAAATGCAAACCTCCTCAGCCTGAGAAACTTGGGAGGAAGCAGACCATCAATCATTTTTCCAGGAAAAGTTTATTTTGTCCATTTCCCACCCTTCGCACTTCTGTTGTGTCTTTCAGATGCTTAGTCAGAGGGCTGGGTCAGCACTTTTATTTCAGATCATCTGGAAGATCTTCCCAACAGGAAGAGCTGTTTTTAAAGGTGGGCAGGCTGTCTGGGGAGGTAGAGAATTCTGTCACAGGGAAGGCTGAATGGCTTCACATATGCCTTCGTGTTTGCATCCGGTCTGCAAGGGTCAGGAAAGAGCCTAGGGACAGAGCCCACACTCACCTTCCCTTGTCACCTCCCCCAGTTCATCTCATACCCAAGTTCTGTGTTGGAAACCAGAACATGCCCAGCCTTTCTCCTCCAGTTCACAGAAAGAAAGGGCAAAGAGCAAGGGCATGGAGTGAAAAAAGGCTCACCCTGGCTCTTCTGTACTTAATACCTGCAGCTTCTGCTATCTGTAGTTTTGTTTTCAGTGAGATTTGGGGGTGTTAACTGGGCTCTTGTGGTGAAGCATTTACAAGGGTCTGCGCACAGTAGGTGCTCCATAAACATGCGTGTTACCATCATACACTGAACCAACAGAAAAAGATGGGTAGGACTCATGTGGCTTGTGCTCCACAGCGGTCATGCCACCGTGGGTGCTCAGAGTCATTTCAAATATCGTCCTTGTAGGAGTTTTGTAAGAAATAAAAAAATTAGAGGGAAAGCTTTTTCCTGACCCTACTGGTTAGTAGCACTCAATGCATCTCTGGCTGGTTCCTTTCCAAGCCCTGTGTGGAGCAGTAGACACGTGCTGCCTTCCTCACTGCATCTGTAGGGCCTAGGAGCCACCATGGAATTCACTTTCACAGAGGCAGAAATGAGACTTGATGCCCCTGTCCTGGACCACCATACTCCACGCCTCCCAAAGGCCAATGCAGCCACTGCCACACCACGCTGACAGCTACAGATGAGGAGTCACAGGGCCCCTGGGGGGATCTCGGGGCTCGAGCAGGTGATGTACTTGCTAAATGCCTAACAGAACAGTCACAAACGCTGTTCTTTGTCTAAACTACTCCACAGTGTGGATGCGTTCTCAGTGCCACAGAATACATTATTTGTCGCATCTTTTCACTCCTCCCTCCCGGGCTCTGTGCAACTCTGCCCCTTTTTAAATCCCCCGCTCCCTCCTCTGCACCTTCCGTGGCTCCATCCCAGGCTGCTGGCGCTGTTGCCATCCTGAGCAGCCTGCGATGGCACAAGGCCCCTTCTGCTCTGCTCCACTCTGGCCCCGTGTTCTTGGCCTGTCAAGCAGCCCGTTCCTCAGAGTCTGTACTCTGCAAGCTCTCATTCTTCCTATACTACGCTTTCTGACAGGCATGCCAGCCTGCCCTTCCCCTCCACTGTGTACAAAATGCTTTCAAATTCACCATTTCATTTATCACGCAGAAGCTCTGGGAGTCCAGAAGCTTCACATTCTCTGCACAGATAGGAAAGGGAAACTTAGGCAACTGGCTGTCTGCCCCATGGCCAGCACATCCTGGAAGGGCACAGACTCCTGGCTCATGTGACTCTGCTGACAAAATACTATCTTGCTAATGATTCCATGTGCTTCTTTCCAATATCCTAAGTTCGGAACAGGTGTTAACTTGGGGTCCAACCCCCATCTCCTTCACCAACTCCTGACTCCTTCAGAAACAGCTGATTCACCTTTGGCAATTTGTGGATCCTTTTCAAGCCTCAACTTTCTCATTTGTGAAGCAGGGATGAATAACACTGGCTTCTCCACTGGACTAGGCTGAGGAGGAAATAAAAAGATGTACAAAAAGATCTGAACCTGACCAGGCACCCTGCAGATGCCTTCTAGTGCTAGTCATGATGATCCTGCTACCGACACTGTTACTATTGTAACTGCAACAGCAGGGGGTCCCTCGCTGCTACTCTGGCACACCAGGCTGTGGTCCCACTGACTTCTTCCATGTCACCTGGCAAAGTGCATCATTCAGATGCACAGCATATATTTTCAGGGGCAGCTCACTGAGATACATGGAACATGGAACAAAAGATGAAAAGACCCAACACTTTTGAAGAGCACTTCTTGCAGAAAAGTGGAAGCAAGATTTTTTGGCTTCCTGCCTTCCTCAGCCTCAAGCCCCACCTCCCCACGCCATTTATTTTAGGGTAGTGATACTGCAACTCTGTGCCCTTCCCAGGAGGATGCTATAGATGAGTGCTGACAGGGCACCTGCTCGGTGAGGAAGGAAGGCTTGTAGGCGCCGTCCGTGGACTTGTTCCCTGTACCCCTCATGGACTTCATGTGCGAGACAGCCATGCGCAGGATGGTGAGCTTGTCTGGCTTCCGGGCCAGTGCGCTGCAGGTGGGGACCATGTCTGAGAGCTCCGTGATGTACTGGGTCATCTTGTTCCGCCTGCGCCGCTCTATCTCACTGTGATTCTCTCTTCCCAGGAAGCAGAAGACCAGGAGGGATAAAAAGGGAAGTATCAGACAAGGGGTTACTGTGCAGTGTGGTAAAATGGCACATTGTGAACATCAAATGATGGGGCATCAGGCACTAACACCACATGGCTGAGTTCTGTGGACACCTTCTGGCCAGGGAGCTCTCCTGACAACTCAGTCTGTGTTGGGAAGCACAGAGCTCTATGGTCTCCACCTCCATGCACAGACTGAGGCTCCTAGTACTGCCTATGTCTCCATGGACTGTGCATGGACAGAAAATATGAAGACACCGTAGTGGGTCCTCTAACATGTCTCCCAGGTGCTCACATGAATCTATGCATGAAGGAGCATGCGTGCATGTGCACACACATGCACACACACATGCACACACACACACACACACTCACAAAGGGGGCAGAAAGAGAACGCAGTCACTGACTGCTTGTGTGGTTCATGTACCTTATGGACAGAAGCACTATAAGATGCTCCTGGCTTATAATTTTCAAAGTTTATGATGGTGTGAAAATGGTGCATTCAGTAAAAACTGTACTTCAGTGTACATCAACCCATGTAACTATTCGATTTCCACTTTCAGTACAGTATTCAATAAATTATATGAGACTTCCAATAGCTGACTGTGAAATATGCACTGTGTTAGATGCATTTGCCTACGATAGGCTAATGTAAGTGTTCTGTGCCCAGTAGGCAGGCTGGACTGCCCTGTGTTGGGTTAGGAGAATTCAATGTATTTCCAACTTATATTTTCAATTTATAATGAGTTAGGCAGGATGTAATCCTGTCATAAATCAGCAGCATTTGTATACCTCACTATTCTTTGTGTCACTGAGTAGATCAATAGTGCCACAAATTTACTTTGTGCAAAGTTGGGAACAAGTTTTTGTTCTATTCAACATATTTTCTGCAGCATAGTAACAGCACAGGTGCACTCCGGGTTATTAAGCAGAAAATATCCAGTTGTTTCAAAAAGACCGAAGGAATTACTGAACTCAATCTCTGTGATGCGTCAAGGCGAAAAACTAATAGAAGGGCTGGTAGAATGTCTCCATTTGGATATTATTACCTTTACACTTAAAAGGGAAGAGCCAGCCCCACTCAACAACACTAAGACAAAGCTGTCACTTGGGATAAAAGAACTGTCTAAAAATACATCCTAGGTCTCTTATAGGACTTAGGGTTTCACTGGTGCTTAAAGAAGGACAGCGACACAAATAGAAAGAAGGGCGTAACTGCAGGCAGCACTGCCTCTAACGCTGCATGTTTTAAGCAGCTGAACACCCAGCAGCCCAGCCTGGGACAAGCGTGCCAATGGGGCCAACAGCATGTGAGTGTACATGCAAGCTGGGGAGGGCAGCCATGTGGCCCTTCCCATGAAGAACCCTGACCCAGGTCCCAGGAGGGAAGGGGACAGGAGAGGACCACCCTGCCCTGTTCTCAAGCATAGGGATTTTATTAGGAAAGTAAAGCACACCTGCACATGGGAACCAAGAGAAGAATATGATTAAAAGCTCTGAAAAGTTTGGGGAAAGTGAATTCACTAGAAAGGAGCGCAGAGGAGGAGGCCCAGGGTTGAGGATGGGAGGCCCATGATGAGAAGAACCTCTGGGGCAGAGGTGAAGAAGAGAGTTCAGGAAGGGGATCAGGAGATCATGGGTGGCCACGGATGAAGGAGAGGCTGAGGGCTCCCGGGAGCAGGCCCTACAGGAGGGGAGCCCCAGGCCAAGGCTGCAGGGAAGATGCAGGCAGTGCTGGCTGAGGGGGCCTTGGTGCTGTGCACCCTGTGGCCGACTCCTGGGGGAGAAAGGACTGGGTGAGTCCTGGGGGAGGAAAGGACAGAGGCTGAGGTGGGTGCTCCACTCCTGCCTGGTCGCTGCCCACCTCAGCCGACTCTCTGGAAAGGTGTAGCAGCCTTGCTGCTGCTCTGCAGAGCCAGGACCCTCCTGGGCAAGGAGACGGCCCAGAGCACCGGGGCAGGGGCGGGAAAGTGTCGCAGCAGGAATTGTCAGGATTCCCGGTGCTCTGGCACTGGCAGGAATGTTTCCTTGGAACAGACATAGGAACAAGGTCCTTGCTCCACAATTCCAAGCCCTAAGTGAGGGACACCGCCCACCCCTGTGCCTGACCCATCCGAGGGGCTGTCTCAGGAGGCCAGGGAGGGGCCGCAGGAGAGATGCTCGCCCCCGCCACTCACTGTTCTGGGAGCAGCTCTGGTGGGTGCAGTCAGGCTGGAGCCGGGGCCGCCCGGGTCCTGACTCACGGGGCTCTCTCCTCTCCCGGGCTCTCTCACTCACCCCACCTGAAGTCCACATTCCAACTCCCAGCCTGGCTCTCAGTATCTCCTATCAAGCCCCACACACTGCTCACCGCGCTTTTCCAATACAAGCCACACCCTGTGTGCAACGCAACGTCCACTCTGGCTCATCTTCACACAGCACATGTGAGCGGCTTCTTTGCCTCACACTTCTGTCTGTGCTGAAGTTGCAGAAATCTCCAGACTCTTCCCTCCAGCCCCAGCTGGCTGCGGGGATCACTGCCACAATCTCCTCTTACCCTCCTCTCTTCTCAGTCCCTCTAGTCAAGCCTGGCATTGTGGCCAGACTGGTAGTGCTCAAAATGCAAATCCAACCTTCCCTTAAATTCCTTCACTGGCGACCCCAGGCTTACAATTCCCAACCTCTCAGCCAGTTTCCCTGGCAACTGCTCCAGCGAGGGGCGAGAGGGATGCTTCTTCCTGATACTACTTTCCAGTGCAGCTGGCGTTGGATCCCTTGGATCAGTTAGCTTCATAAACATGTCAGGGGGAAAAGTCTCTGTGAGATCCTTAAACAGATCTAAAGCAATTTACCACAGCGCTTAAGAAACCTGATGTGCAGGAAAAATGCATGCAGAAGACAACACCAAGGCAAATGATTTACATGCTGACGGACTTACAGTCTGATCCTATTAATTGGCTCATCCAGGAAATGCTCTGACTGTTTTCGATTTTTATGAAGTAAGACTGAGTTACCAGCAGAATGTCAAAAGACCTGAGAGCTGCCGGTTGCCTGGCAACAAGACCTGATCATTGGTGGCACACATTTATGTATATCTGGTTTCATTCTGCAGCCTCCATGGAGGCAAAAGGGAGGGAAATGCCTTGTGAAAATAGAAAAGCAAATCTCTGGGACTATGCTTGCTGGGCCAAGGTCACCTCCTCCCAGGAGAGTGGACGAGGTGAGGGATGAGCCTGTGGGCCTGGTGTCTGAGCTGCATGGGCTCCACACATGAGTTGGGAGCTGAGCAGGATGCCTAAAGAAATGAGCCTTGCACACTTGGGAATAGAACCAGGGACTTAGCAACAAGGGCAGTGGATGACTGCAGGACACAGGCAGAGCAGCCAGTGTCAAGGACTCTTCTGCTGGGTCAAGAGGAGCCGGTGCTCCAACCCCGGACACAGCTGTGGGAATCAGGGCATGGTGACTTGGGTTTCCCCTCCAGCTTTGCTCCAAGGGGCGAGGCCAGGCCCACCTGATTAAATCTTGACACAGACCGGAGGCAGGCACTGACACTATGCCTGTGTCGTGCCCTGTACCCTGGACAGCGAGGGCAGGCTGCTACAAGAGAGACTGGGGCACCTTGCCTGAGCAAACCGAGGAGCCCAGGGACCCTGAGACTTACAGAGCCCCCATAGCCTAGCTGAGGGTCAGGGCACAAAGCACCTCCCATCATGTCTCTCTGCCAACTCCCCCTGAAACACAGTGAGAAGGAGTCTGGAAAGTCCAGGAGGGCCAGGCCCGGTACTGTTCCCAGGGTAATGCACATCCTGTGTGTCTCTACACTCACCAAGTGCTTTCTCAGCTCTCACTGCCTCTAACTCTCATGGCCATCTGTGAGGGAGCATTTCCTCCACTCATGGCACAGAAGCCTGCACCAGAGAAGCCCCGGCCTGCCCTGCCTACTGCAGCTCTCCCCAGGTCTCTCAGCGGCAGCACGCTCCCCTGTCCCAGATCCAGAGCTAGACTACCCAGAGACTAGAGCAAACATATTTAGGCTGCATAGGGGGGAATTCTTGGCAATCCCAAGACACAGCTTAGGACTTCTAAGGACTCTGAAAATAATCTCTTTCCCTTTCTCCAAACCATGTAGTATTCAGGCAGTATCATTTTATATCAAGGTTAATCTCTCTGCAGTAAAAGAAGGGTCGCCGAACATGTTAGAAAGGCACTGGGTCTCAGGTCTGCCCAACACCTTATGTGAAGACATGCCCCACCCATAGCCGCATGATGTCAGAGAACTGCTTCCTTCAAAACATACACCATGCCAGTGTGTCCAAGCCCCAACCCCAACCCTAACCCACTGAAACAACCAGTAGCATGCATGCGCTACACTGTACCAAACTCCACCCAACTCATCTGCAACCCTTGTCTGGCTCATAGGAACCACGAACATCCATGTGGAGGCAGGGATGGGGCTATGAAAGACTAAAGGCATCCAAGCCCAACACCCATGTCTGCTCTGTAGGGGACACGAAGCTTTTCAGAAGTGCTTCCTGTTTTACAGAGCTCAAATGGCCCCCTGAATGATCCTTCACATCATTACAGAGAAGATAAGGCCAAGCAGGAAGTGGTAATCCTCAGTGCTATCTACTCATCTTCCCAGCATTACAAGTGCTTTAAGCATTTTCCCACTTAGAAACAAAAGCAGCAGCTCTCTAAGCTGAGATGTGCATACTAAGAATTCTGGAGCTGACAATCTTCCTCTTCCGCTGGGAGAGATCTGTGCGGGCAGATCTGCCTATCTTGCATATTTTTCCGTATCCACATGGTTTTGACCATCACACCTACTGATAACACAGGGCTGTAAATGCAGGTGGAAAGGCTAAAACTCAAACAACACCACAACCTAAACAGCCAGGGAAAAAAGCCCACAAGCTTACATCCCATGCCAAACCAAAAGGGAAGTATCAAAATAGGAGATGGAAACATAAAAGGGGCCTTCTGTGGA